CAGATAGAGAGTAGGAAGATGTACTGCCTTCCCCAAGTTCACACAGCAGGTGAATGGCTCAGGAAGGATTAGAACTCAGCTCTTCTTATGCTAAAGCTAGTGCTCTAGCCTGCAGACCACACTGTCTCTTAAGTAAGTTTGAGAATTAATAGTGAAGATTAGTTTAAATTTTTAATGTCCTTGCCTTTGTCAGTTTGTGTCATAATGTAATTGTACTGTAGATTATTTTTTTTCTTTTTTGTGTGCATTTAAGATGCTTGAAGTTCCCAATGTCCTTTCCTCTCAGAGAAGCCTTTCATTTTTTTCATCCCCTGCTAGGTAAAAGTCACCTGCTAGTTTAAGCAGTCTTGATCAATTCTGACAGTAATGCCAACCAAGTTTCCTTAGAGATGCAATATATTTAAGGAGCTATAACTACAACTAAAGTCTGTCTAATGCACACTACAGAGTTGCCCTTCAAGGTGAGGTTGCACAGTTGAGCTAAAGCGTATATATTCTGGGAGTAATTAGAAAAAATCAGTTGTGCTCTGTGAGGGGGAGGAATAAAATGTGGGGTAGGGGCTGAAATGGGAAATGAACAATGCAGATCACAAAGCCAAAGATGCAGTGCAAGAACACTGAAGACAAAACATTCTCAGCCAAAGGCATTTGTCTGTGAAACAAACTTCTAGAGGAGAGTAGATGAATCCAGAATCTAACCATCTTTAGGAAAACATTCAAAACCTTCCTCTTTGAAAAGGCTATTCTGCCTAAGAAAGACACACCCTTCATCCACCCCCAGAAACTCATCCAAGCCCTCACCCTCTTCCATACAGAGTTTTGAACCCAAAAAGGTTAAAAGTGCCAGAGACTCCATGAAGTCCACTTGGGACTTAACTACTGCTATCAATTTTATGAGGAAGGTGCTCAGATACTACGGTGATTGGCAGTAGTATAAAATCCTAAAATACCATAGAAGTTAGCAATGCTGTTTTGGCCTTAAGACGGTCACTTCATGACAAGGGCGTTGGAGCCTTCCCAAAAGTGAGGGGGGACAGGGGCCTCCACCCTTCCTCTTCCCTCCAAGGCCCCGCCTCTTCCCCCAAAGCCTGCCCATGCTCTTCCTCTTCCCAGAAGGCCCTATCCCTGGCCAAGCCGGAGTGGAGCCTGGGAGCCCGCCCTTCCTGCCCAGGATCGGGATGGGGAGGAAGCCCCCTTCCTGTGTTCCCGCCCCCCGGACCCTCTGCCCAGGGCAGATGGAGGGACCCAGCCTCCCCACAGCTGCCCTGGTAAGAGACGTGTGGGCAGCTGTGCGGAGCTGCAGTGGACCCTCCACCTGCCCGCAGTGCGGGGGGCCTGAGGAGAGCAGCCCCCGGCCCGTGTTCCTGCCCCCAGTGTCCCTCTCCCAAAGCAGGTAGAGGATCCGCGGCTCCCCACAACTGCCTGTGCGGCTCTTACCATGGCCAGGCTGTGGCTCCGAGGACCCCCCAACCCCGACCAGAGCCGGGTCAGGGACAGAACCACACGGGCAGCTGTGGGGAGCTGGCGCAGAGTCACGCACTCTCCTCCACCTGCCCTGGGCCGGGCGGGGACATGGGCTGGGGACTGTTCTCGGGACCTCTGCACCACAGGCAGGTGGAGCGTCTGCGTGGCTCCCTCAACTGCCGGGGCTCCACCCGCAGCCAGGGCATGGAGCCACTGTTCCAGCACCACTGCTTCATGAGCACTTTTTAAAGGAAACGGTATATAGTTGTGCACAATGGGCCAGATTATCAAAGGCTCTCCAGAAATGTGCCTCTGATATTTATGTGCCCTTTTTTGTACATGCAAAGCCACCAATTGCACAGTGTTTGCTGCACAAATATATATATTTTTGCACGTATAAAAATTACGATGTATTTTTGGGGGTAACCCTATATGTTGGTGTAACTTTAATTTCAACAGTTTTCATTGTGCATTTAAGAAACCCTTTAAAAATATTTTTAGCAAGATACAAGGACAGGTATTGTGCTATACAACACAGTTGTAAGATACATTTTAGAGTGAATAGAGAAGCAGTCACAAGTGGGACTCTTGTTAGGGAGCTTTAGATATTGTTTTTCAGCTTTTGTTTATATGATACCTGTTCATTACATGAGATAAAAGTAGCCCTAGGATCTATTTTTCACATTAGAAGTGTTAAATAGGTACCATGATGTGTGAGTGACTATCTTTCATTGAACAGATACAGCATGTATCAGAGAATAAATGATCTTGGTGTAGACAGCTTTGTGTAAAGTGCATTTTCCTTGTTATAGTAACTTTTTACCAGCTGAAGAGCGTATTGATTTCGCTGAATGCTCTCTGCTGATATAGCAGGTGTTCTATAGCTTTGTGACTGCTGAATTTGACACAACTCTAAATTCAAAGTGTGAATTTCAAACCTGTTCTGTAATAGTTATCTAGCTAGCACCATTTCCAACATTCCCAGAGGAGTTCAAAGGCAAGACCTCCTTTAATTTAACAACATTTTGTATTTATCATGGGATTGAAGAGTTGAAGGTTGTCTGATCATATACCACAAAGCCAAGCACAGATCAGATCTCATTCATTTATTTAAAAAAAAGTATTAGAAACTGACAGGAATTGAAATACCTATCTTAAAATGTTAAAAATGTTATGAGGCAAAGCTACACGTATAAAATTCTAATCTCATAAAAAAAAGAAATCAAAGGATCAGTACAAAAGATGCTCACCATTTTAGCTGGCTATTTCTTTGTTTCATTTACAGTATTTATGACTCAGGGCATGACCAGGCTACATAGGGTGCAGCAGAAAGCTGCATCCACTTCTGCTCATGAGTGGCTAGAAAATGGTATAATTTATGTTTTCTGCATTTTAAAAGCATTCTGACTAATTACACTGGTTAGAGGGCATTCTAGAGGTTCATGAGTTCAAACCCACTGAGACAGCAATTTGTCTGGAGTATGCCTTTATTCTGATATATGGCATGATATTAACTTATCAGCCTGTTTACTTAACTTTTTTTTTTCAAAAATAGCCTCATATTGCTCTCCCAACTGCTTATCTGTTCCGCATCACTGAAGCAGAGACACCAAATTAGTCTGAAAGATCACACATTTTCTCTTCTCTTTTTTCTGTCTCTGTATCTTTCTTTTACTTGGATGTAAAATATGTATTTTAAAACATCTAGCTACTAAGAAGAGATGAATGATTCAAGCTTTGTATGAAGACAGAAAAAAAAAAGCTAACTAGTAAGAATGAAATTTGTTTAAATATGCTGCTATACGACCTCAGATGGGACACTTCCATTTCCTGGAAATGCCAGAGCCCATCTCCGTTTGTTCAGCCAATCATTCAAGCAGCAGAAGATGATTTGGGAAGAGGCAAAATATTAATCATGACACAAATACAATATGCAATTTAGGTGCTCTATTGGTTGCAGTAAAGATCGAAGTGCTGTCTCCATGATACATGGTACACAGCACAGATGGTCACTATACAGTCTCTTCCACACTGCCCCAGCTATTGTGCCTCACCCTGACTAATTCAGTCTACATGGCCCATTAAATCCCTGACCTCTGCTCAGACTCCCATTAAAGCTTCTAATTACTGCCAGTTTTGGCACTGTTTTTTCCAGTATGAAAATCTGGGAATTGAGACCACTAAGCTCATTTCACATAGGCCATTGAACTGCCATCTGATGGTAATAATTCTTACTCAATAATGATCCAGGCTGGGTTTGAGCCAGTGACCTAGGGGGAAGGCAATATATCCTGCTACCAATCTTTAGAATCCTCTGCACCAGCACAAAATGGCTTAAAATAGGAAAGGAGAAAGCATCTAAATGTGTAAGTGTAATTAAGAAAAATACAAGTGGCTACAGGCTTATATTAATAACCTGAGGAAAAATTCATATAGAGTTAAATCTTGGCTGAAAATCATTATAGCAAGGCAATAGAAAAACACAATCCTTTTTTTTTGTTTTTTGGGGCGGGGTTGAACAAAGACATCAAAATGAGGATAATTAATCCAATTCTGCACTTCTTACATGGATAAACCTCCCATTGAGCTGAATGGGAATATTGCAGTTTTAAGCTCACATAAATCAGAATTTAAAGAAAGTCAAAGTAAAATAAAAATGTTGACTGGGGTTCAGTACATTCAATAAAACACATTTTAATAAAAATCTTAAAAGAAGAACAGATACCAGAAATGCCTAGTGCCTTTTAAAAGCCTCAAGATAAAGAGGAGACATAATTAAAGAAAGACAAAAAGAAGAACTTTGTGAAAATTAAAATTTGAGGCTGCTGAATGTTTACTGTATTTTAAAGGGTTTTCAAAACAAACAGAACTTGAAACAAAAAAATAAAGTAAAACTTTTTCAGAGTAAAAATAAATTACAAGTGAAGTCAGTGTGCACACACTCTCCTTCACACACACACACACACACATATATATATATATATATAAAATATTGTATGCCTTTCACCTTCCCTTCATGTTCCATTCTCTCCTGTCTCTATTTTCATAAGATTACCTCTCTCTATTCTAATCATCTTCCTGGTTATTTAAATGTGATTTTATTTCTGATCATGATTTCTCTCAATATTTCCTGCACCTGTTTTACCTCCCATGTTTTTCACACCTACTTACTCAATTCATTTCTCCTGGTTCGATCTAGCTCTGTAGAGTTCAGTAACTATCTTCTGCCTCCTAAAAACAACCTTTCTCAACAGCCCACAGAAGGCCTTAAAGATACAGCTACTTTTATTTACCTTACTTTTCTACAATATTTTTCTTTAACCTAGTTTCATTTTTGTAGCTTCTGCTGGTCAACAGAAGTCATTCTGCTTCAAGCTGTATCACTGATTATATTATGAATTGTATATTTCAAATAGTGGAACATTGTTGTCACTCCTTGGTTCCTTCTTGTGTTGAAGATAAATATTATAATGATGGTTGGAATAAAGGTGTGGCTTTGATTACTAAGTCTTTCTCTGATTTTCTACTTTTTTCAGATTAAATTTGACAGTGATGGTGTCTGTGTTTGCTGTGAAATGCAGCATCAAACATCGGGCTGCAGCAACCTTGGAGAAACGCTGAAACTGAACCCACTGCAGGAGTGTAATGTTGTGAGGCTGACCCTAAAGGTGGGGAGTAAGAAGGATTATCACTTATTAGAATTTAACACAGCAAGTGGATTTTGATAAAGGCATGTAGTGAAAGTTGTTTGTGCACTGTCAGCTGCTTACTTATTCATAACAAAGAGACTTAGCCAAAATTAGAACCTGATCCTGCAAACATGAAATCATTAAAGCTACTCATGTGACCAAAATTACATGCTTACCTGTTTGCAGGATTGTTGCATATATTAGTACAGTATAACCATTTTGTTAAAGGTTGAGTATGCCCCAGGGTACACCTACAAAAATCTTATTGTAGGTTGAGGGCTTATAATTTTAATCTTGATGGTGCCATTTTGATTAAATGTTTTTTAAAATATTCCATATAAGAGAGAATAATTTAGGAAAAACAGATTATCCAAAAAGCTTCTGTAAAAATCCTTCCAGTGTGAATTCCATATTTATTATTTCTGCTTTGTGGCTTTGAGAGCTCTGTGTTCCCTGACTGTTCATATTAGAGAAAAATATCTCACTAGGCACCTGAAGAAATTACAGCTAATCAGGCAAACAACTGACAGTGATAACGCACACCTTCTATAATTATGATTAGTAATGACTGTTGATTGCTGCAACAGAAAACAGCTGTTGTATGTACTCAGGGCTTTATTCTGCCTTTTGTTTGAAAATAAGCACCCCACTTGAAACAGTACATCTGTAACGGCATGTAGGCTCTGTCTGCACTGCCTTTTTTTTTTTAATTCTGTCTTTCCACTATCACCGCTTCAGCCCCATTGGTGATAGCAAAGGTGGGAGCCCTAAAGTGGAAATTTTACCAAAGCTGACTAATCTTGTTCACAACAAGTCTAGAGAGCATAGTATGAAAAATATCAGTGGCTGCCAAAAATCTTTTCCACATTAAAGTGTGTGTGAGTATGTACGCACGCTCATACGTGTGTAAATTTGGTTTTGAGTCAGTCTTTGTTTATGGTGCCGTTGATAAATATGGCCAGTGTTTAGTTATTATATATATTGATGTCTTTGGACCTCTTGTATGTGTTTTTTGCAAACCATATGCCTCATTCTTGCTGTTAATTCAGAATAAACTACCCAGCCATTTCAGCTGTGGATATAACATAAAGCAGTAACATATCTACGATTATACATACTTGAGTAATACACAGTTCTTCTTCGAGTGCTTGCTCATGTCCATTCCATATTAGGTGTGTGCGCTCACCACATGCACCAGTGTCGGAAGTTTTTCCCTCAGTGGTATCCATAGGGGATCGGCTCTGGCGTCCCCGAAGCAGTGTGCACATGCCGCGGTATAAGGGGCGCCACCGGCTCCCCCCACCTTCAGTTCCTTCTTGCTGCCAGTGATGGTTGCTGGAACGTCTGCTGCTTCGGCTAGCATTGCACTTCATTCGGTGTTTCTTTTGAACATTTCCCTGTAAAATAGTTGTACATAGTTAATAGTTTCCTTAGTGTTAGTTCTGGTTTAGTTGGTCCCGGACGGGACTCAGCTTAGGGATGGGGCATGCCCCAGGCCCCAGTCTTTAAGACCTGCGATCGTTGTAAGTGGCTATGCCCATCAGCGACCCGCATGGTAGCTGTTTAAGGTGTCTAGGAGAAGGACACATAAGCAACAAGTGTCGCATCTGTAAATCCTTTAAACTCCGAACAAAAAGGGAGAGAGACATCTGTCTCAGGGCACTCCTGATGGAGTCGGCGCTGATCCCGGCACCAGAGCAGAGGTCCAACTTGGCCCCAAGCACCACAGCATCGTTGCGGAGCGCCCCGCCGGTGCCACCTACAAGCTGGCACCAAACCCCCTCCCCAGCTCCGGCCAAAAAGCCGAAGAGAAGCACGAGGGGACGATCTCCCACTTCCTGTAAGGGAAAGGAGAGGGCCGGAGGAGAGCCAAGACCTGTGCTGGATGGCTCAACACCTCCGGCAGGGAGTAAGGCCCCAGCTCAGGCTGAGCAGTCTAGCCTATCCCGTACCATGCCTGCCACACCGGACAGTGAAGAGGGCCTTAATCATCTAGAGGTCCCATTGACACTGGAGGCACTGCAGGAAGCGCGGGAGATCCTGACACTACCAGTGCCACCCACACCGGCTCTGGTGGTACCCCGGTCCAGGGGTAAACCCGCCTTGGGACCTTCCCATATATCCCCACCTCAGTGGCACTGCTCCCCTTCATGGGGGACGTCCTGCCAGCACTCACCTGCATGGAGCCATCATGCCTCGGAAGCAGGGAGGCAGGAGCAGCGAAGCCCTCGTTGGTGTCCGGACCCTGGTCACCAACAGCGGGATTCGAGGCGCAGCTCACCAGTAACCTGACACAGACCTACGGAGGCATGCGCCCCCTGGCAAGAGCATCGAGACCTGCCCTTTGTGTCTCCAGTGCCTCGGCACCAATCACGCGACTGATCGTATGAACGGAGCCACCGGTCACCTACCTGCTGGCACCTCTCACCAAGACGCGGATCCCCATGGTCGGGGAGATCCTCCCGGTGACGGAACCACTCCATGTCCTGGTATCAGTTGAGCAGCGTGAGGTGTAGATCGCCGAATTACCGATGCTGATCCGCCAAACGCCGATGGTCCCCAAGCTCCCGTGTGAGGGGATCGTCTCAATCGGACAGGTTGAGGCGTAGCAGTTGGCGCCGCACACAGACGTGCCACCGGTCCAACCGATCATGGTTGCCTGACAGCGACCACTCCACTTCAGGCTGGGGCACTGAGCAGGAGTCCTTGGCAGCGGGACAAGCTCTGGCCTTGGCAATGCTGTCTACATCATTGGCACCGCAACTGACCCCATGGCCCAAGACCAGTGGCTGGCAGCTTGATACCCCTGGAACCCTTGGGGGTTTACCCAGCCTTTGCAGACAGTCCAGTCAGTGGCAGGGGGCTTGGATAGACCTTTGGCCTCACATCCCACCCTCCACCAGAGGTGGAGGCCCCAGAAGGGTAGACCCCCCAGGCCCATGAGGACCCAGGGGAACAGCCAGCTGGACCACCAGGGGACGTGGCAGATCCTCCTCATCGTCCTCATCATCGCCAGCTGAAGCAATTATGGGTCTACCTCACCCAGTTCCACAAGGTGACGCCAAGGCTTATCAGGAACTACTGAAGAAGGTCACCTCCTACCTGGGCCTCCAGGCAGAGGAGCTAGAGGAGCCATCGGACTCCCTGATGGACGTCCTTTGGTCCACGGCATCTGTTGTAACAGAATTCACTACCCGCCCTCTTCCTGGGGCCCACTTGCTCTCCCCATTAAGGCTCAGAGAGGCTTCAGGGTTGTGCAACACCCATGTCTTTATTTACTTACGGTTGTCCCACCACCAGTGTCCATCTATATAAAAGCTTTACAGGCAGAGTCAGCCTTCAGCTAGGAGGCCTCTAGCTTCCTCCCTGCCTTCTGGTTCCCTGCCAGCCTTTATAACCCTTAGCTTGTCAGACCAGCAGGTGTTGCCAATACTCAGGCCGGCATCAAGCCTTTTCCATCAGCCCCAATCTGCTTCCCTTGATTGGAGCTGACCGGGCAGGGGCTAATTAGGTGCTTTTGCACCAGCACCCTGCTACGTACTGATGTTCTTTGAGATGTGTTGTTCATGTCCATTCCATGATTTGTCCTCCATCTCCACTGTTGGAGTTTCCGGCAAGAAGGAACTGGGGGTGGAGGGAGCCAGTGGCACCCCTTCTACCATGGCATGTCCACACTGCTCCAGGGGGTGCCAGGGATGGTCCCCTAGATACCACTGAGGGGGGGAAATTCCGGCACCGGTGCAGTGGCGAGCACACCCACCTAATATGGAATCGACATGAGCAACATATCTCGAAGAACACCAGTTACGGAAAAAGGTAACTGTCTTTTTTCCTGCTGTGAGCAATAGCTGGGGAAAACAGGATACCTGGGAGACAAATGCTCTAATCTGATATGACAAATCCTATGGTGGATAAAAATTTTGAGCCATGCAATTTCTCAGGAAAATTATTGATCTTAGTGAAAAAATATAATTTTAATATTGTCGGCCTTGCATAGCTAATTGGTTCCTTTCTGATTTGCGTATAATCAACAACGTTAACTAAATGTCTTCAATGCAACTCAGTTGTCATCAAAATATGCCCTCAGTTACTCCTGCGCAATCCCAGTGAAAGTATTAAGGTTGAATAGTTATAACCAAAGGCATAATTTGAAGACAATGGGGTTGCACAGATATAATGGAGGATAGCACATGGCTTGCAGAGTCTTTTTTACTGGTAATGGTGCACAAGCCAAAAAGAGCACAATTTAAATTATGAAGTGGGGTCTGCAGAGTAGCAGTTTGAAAAAAGTCTTACTTTGTAATCTGAGCATATTTTGATATGGAAGTTGTTGAGACAGAATAAATGTGGAACCCCATGATGCTGTTTTTACAAAGTCACTTTTCAGAGAAGACCCACACTTTAAAACAAAGCTGTAATGTATGACTCTAAGATTTCCTGTGGCAGTGGATTTCATGGGATTTGACCTCATATTGTGTGAATTAATGTTTCCTTTAATTTTTAGACTCAAGAAGTACTATACATATTATAGAAGGCTGTGAGTTATAACACCTGCTGCCAAATCAAATTTCTCTAACAAAAATATAGAAAGAATATGCCTTAAGGGAATTGAAGGGCTTATCTATACTGACTTTTGGCTCAAAAGCTAGTGTGTGGTATCTTCTTTGTTTCACTAAGAAGACTGCCCCAACTCATTGCTACTTTCTCTCATGCTTGTGTAATGCTGACAGACCATGGTCAGCGGCGGTTGGGATCAAACCTGGGATCTCTGGAGGCATGAGCCTCTACTGTATGAGTTAAAAGACACATGTCTCTTAGCCAAGGCTGTATCAAACTCAACAATCTCTAGCTGCCACTAGAGGGGGACAGAGTGCCACACCAAACAGCCATGGGTTGCACTTGCATGAGCAAATTCTGTGTGTACCTTAAACTGGAATTTTTGGGAATCAGCATGAGGAAAGGCCATTTTAGGTGGAGGG